ATAAATCATTCATAAGTTAAGTATTGAAAAGTAAAGCAGCAATTGCTACATCCCTATCCCTCGAGTCGGCTGTACTTTTCAAGCTATCCACAGTTTACGGCGGTTCTTAGAAATAGTTTAGATTATCTCAAGTATTGTTCTGCAAGAAAGCTGGTGTATAAAGCTTTTGTTAATATTTTCGTAGATTATATATTTGCAAATTGCGTGATATCTTGTTTTACAAGTTAATTTATTACTGTTTGTAACGTGAATCTGTCGAGCCCCTGAAGCGATGAAGATTTCTGTGGTAGCTCTAGATTTACGGGTAGCGGACGCAATAAAGTTTATTACTGTATATGACTTTATGTTTGTCCCATTTCTATGGCAGCTTCTGGCTATGATAAAAATCTATTGCTATCTTGAACTAGTGTGATGCTGCTAGAATTTCAGCGGTTTCTTTTCAACTGTGTTACCCAATATGCAAAATGTAGAGTGCAAAATTGTCTTATACAGCTGAATATCCGTCCCTTAAGTTGGAGTCCGTGGCAGAGTCTTCCTGAAAGTTGTCTGCAGTGCCTCGTTTCGAAGGATTCAACTGATATTTTTTTCACTGATCAGCTACCAACTTCGGGGACAACCAGCTGTACTTCAAAGAGCCTTACAATTAATACACTTAAGTATCGTTTTATGGTTTATTATCCAAATGAATCGATATTATTATCTTGTCTGTTAAAGTATTTGTTTGTTTCGAAGAGCTCGCCAGGATTTCCGCACTTAATTTTATGTTATGATTCCATATGGACTTCTATTTAAATGTGCTATGTAGTGACCGACTTTCTGATTGACTTTTTTACCTTATTTAATTTCATTTAATAGCATTCACTTAATCATAGACCTTTCCCAGTGCTTGTTTCTTCGCATATATTCAGCGTACTACTCTACTTTAGTTTCCTTGCTGTAAAGTTTATAAGGTCTTCTGTAAACGTTTCTTTAAGTAAGATGACAGATTTGTTTTACTATCCTTTTGATATTAATGGTCATGCCATGTTTTGGCAGTGTGGTCACCAAGAATGATGAAACAAACTTGCAGTGACCTCATATTTTTAATGTTATCCTTTCTAGGTTTTGTCATTTAGAAGAGACTGGCTGAATCGGAAAGCGTGAATGTGGCCAACGAGTCGATCTGAGTCGAAGTTTTGTCCGGATCATAAACACAGCAACGTATTCATTAAGTGGTAAACTGCACAAAAACTGGTCATTATCTGATGACATCTGAATTTCATTAAATGTGAGATTGAACTTAGGTGATGTTGGTTGATGAGTAAAGATGCAGATTTCAATTTCAGTCCACCTGAAGAAATGGATGAAGTGGTAAATGCTTGTCCCTTCGGCTTATGGCTTAGCAGATGCCATTTGGAAAAAATCTCGATGAAATCTTAAGCTATTCCTTGAAGGCCTACTCACAGAAAAGCAGTAAGTTATTTTAAGTTCATATGGATGCTCTCTTTGTTTAATTTTATGTATTGTAGATTCCGGATAAACGTCACTTTTAATGGAGTAAGTTATTCAAATAGCGAGTACTGTTTAGATAAATTAGAAATGGACTTTACCATAGTGGAGTTCTTCGCTGAGAAAGAAATCATTAGTATTATTCCAAACTTTTCTCATTCCGAAATAACCCTATTTTCTGGCAATTACGGTCCTTTCGAGGCCGGTGTAGTCGCCAGAGTGCCGCTTTGGATGGCCCTGTACTTAAGGCAGCGAAAAAAATGTCATATCGTTCCTCCAGAATGGATGGCTCCAGAAGCTTTAGAAGAAATCAAATCCAACGAATTGGAATCTCCGTTATTTACGCAACTTCCTAGCCCACATTTTATGGAAATCTCTCAGCTCCTTTTGAACCGATGTCCCACTGATATTCTCCATGCTGACCTGGTGAAAACTTTAATCCAAGATATAATGGATACCAGAGCTGCCAAGCTCAGAACTAGCATGGACATGTTTGTCAGGAGCGAAAACACTCATGCACAGGTCAATCATCTCACCCAGTTGGAAATATGCCGTTTTCGCCGCTTTTTGATTTTGTCTTTGCAGCAGTTACGAACACTACAAGGAGCGTTGAAGAATGCTCAGGCTTCACAAAGGTCCTCGCTTTAGATGTGTGACATCGATTTAGGAAAATATGATTATATTATGTCACTGTTATAGGCGCTGTTTATTTTTAACATGTCTGGCAATATTGCACTGTCTACAATTTTTCCGTAATTAATTCCGAAGATACGAATGCAGTGTGAACGCTGACCGTTCACTGCAAAATGACGAAAGCAAAAGTCTTTCAAGGTGTGCAAGTAAATAAATTTTTATCGCTTGAACAATATGGCAGAAAGGCAGCCTCTGTTTTATAGACATCATATACCAAATGTACCTTACCTTTGAGCAAATTAAGCAACGAATAAGTATCAGTGAATTTAAAGCACAAACCTATGAATTATATTGTCATAGCCATAGTCATTATTAGACATTAATCATGTGTCAGTATGCTGGATCATAAGCTCGAAATGATGATTGAAATATAGACAGAAACGTAGAAATTTTTCTGTTCTGCGAATGATCCACCAGCGCGGCATCAGAACATTGACGATCACGTGATAATAAGGCGTATTTCTTATTCGGCCATGACGTTTTTGCTTGACACGATGTTTATTCATTGACGGGAGTGTCCTTGTCGGTTTCTAATCTTGCATCTTCTCACGTGCCGAACCTTCGCAATCGTGATCTCTCTACTATATTACTTCTGACACATGGGGACGGCTGATTTCAGATGGGTTTCGACTCTGACGTTGGCCTATTGAGTATAAACTGAATTGCTATTCCCTTTGACATGTTTTGAGGGAGCTCAACTCAATCAAGGGTGTCTCAGTTTTCCATGCCATCGATTAGGTTTATTCGCAGGAACAGCGGCAGTTGCTGTCACCGCAGGATGCCCACCAGACCCTGCAAACAAACTGTGCAAGATGCAAAAGGAACACCAAAAATATGCAAAAAACAAATTCAGAGCTTCAGGAGTAAACTATTTACAATGAGTATTCCTTACTCTTCTGGTTGATTAAAAACCTTGGAGAGAAATGACAAAACTGGCCGATGAAGCAGTACAATAATATCGGAAATAACCTTATGTTCACCCTAAATTCTCGAATGCTCAGAAACCTCTTACATAAACTTGATGTACAGCGCATAGCTCGAGTCAGATCAATAGCACTTGTGAAATATCGGTTGCGCCGTGATTGTTAAACGGCCTAGCAAAATTTCAGTGGTACTTGAATATGCTGGTTACGCAGCGTCGTGTCACCTCACTCTATGGTAGTTCAAAGACATCAGGCTAAACCCAGTTTGGATTATGTTTCCCTGAAGCTTATGAATATGAAGCAGAGGATTAAATTTCTGCAACGACATACATTGCACAATATAGCTATTCCGCTTCATTATGTCCTACAGCGTTGATAGCAACTAAACCGCTGGGGGTCTCGATGGCCCCACCACATACTCTAGATATTTCGACATTGCCGATTTTGTTGACACGGAAAATGATAGTTACTATTCATCATGGTACTTTAACGTAATTCTTTCGATGGGCCACTTGATATCACGGAATAAGCGTAAATGAAAATTGTCATGAGACATCTGAAAGAGGGAAATTACCCTTTTCAACT